TCGGTGGAATATGACAGAGTATGTGAGACACCAATGACAACAGATAACAAACGAACACGAACTGATAACAAAGATGAATACGAGTGTGGGACTCTGCCTCGTAGTTCGGTACCAAAGGCTTTGTTTCAGGATGATTCTTAGGTAAACACTTTCTCCTTTGTATATCAAAACTGGAAATAAGGACCACAATGAAGTCACGCTTACAAGGAAATGAAGCTTGAATTAAAAGTGGAATGATCTTTACGAATGGGAATGGGAATGAGCAAGAGTTGTATTTAGAATTTATGTAGGAAACGGGGAGCATGTAATCCAAACCCTAAGTAGATGGAATCTCAAAGCTTTCGATAGTACAAAATCTTGCATAATAATGTTATTTCGATATTAAAAGAAAATGCTCACTGCTCAGTTACTCGGATTTTTAAGTGATCTAAATAAATGGCCAAGACCACATTTCTAGAATCCTTGCACAGTTAGTTAGTTGCATATTCAGTTTTTGCAGTAACTTTGTACTCAAGTACAACAAGATAGGGTGTGAGTAACACATTTATTATTATTACTCATCTAAATTAACCTGACTCACAAAGAACTAATGAGCTAACAATCCACCAAAACACATAATCGTGGTACAGCAAACTGAATAAGATACAGTTAAACAACAATTTTTAGAGTACACAACCGACGTGCAAGGAAAATTAACCGAAACCGGTTTTACAGATAAATAAAAACACGCTGAGGTGAGATGAGATACTGAGACACCTTCAGAGGCTTTACACCTTGCGGACTTGGATGTTATGAGTCGATTGGGATCGCCAGATTGGTTGTGACCCGCTCTGTACAATCGCTATTTCCTCTCCTTTCTTCACCATTCCTTGTTTCTGTTCATCCAAAAGTACCAACTTAGACTTTTTATTCCCACAAACCAAAGGAGGTCTACTGTATGTAAAAATAGAAAATAGAAAATAGAAAGCTAAATCTTTTCTTTAACACTGAGTTTTTTTCTAAAAAATCATTTGAACTTACCAGTAGTGTAGCCAAAGCATTCGCGAAAGTGTCTTCTGCATCATCTGAGAACTCCATATATATGGGGCATACACCTTGATACAAGGCTAATCTTTGCTGTATTCTTTTCCTGAAGAGCAAAAACCTCTACTGTGAGTTCCTAAAACCAAAAAGTTATCACCGTCATTGTTCTGGAAGAATAAAAATGGAATACTCACTCATTTGTGAAGGCATAGATTGTGCCGGAAGGACGATAATGACTTAGTAGTATGGCCATAAACCCAGTTCTTGTGAAGACAACAGTTGAAGTTCCAAGTGTGTTTGACATCGAGGTTGCATGGTATGCAAACATCTCACTCATATGGTTCTGTATAGACCATTGTTCTTCTTATTAGATTGCAAAGTTAGACTAAATGGTGCAGAGTTATTAAAAAGAAGAAAATCAGGCAGCTTACTTTGAAGGCTTGGCCAAGATTAGGTGGCATTTCACCACTGGTAGTAATGGTTGCTTCTGTTCGCAATGCAACCGTGTGCATCACTCCAGCAGCTTTCAATGGGAACCTGATACGAATAAACGTTCAAATTCGTGCATATAAACCTTCAATGTTTTCCATATTCACACCATTATAAGCTAAATCAGTAGATTGTATGAATAGAATCCGCTACTTACTTTCCGTGAGCAGTTTCTCCTGAAAGCATTACTGCATCAGCACCTTCTCTAACAGCAATAGCAATGTCTGAGACCTCTGCCCTGGTTGGAGTTGGATGAACTATCATACTCTCAAGCATATTAGTCGCAACAATAACAGCCTTTCCCATGCTACGGCATAGGTTAATGATCCTCTCCTGTATATCAAAACAAAATCTGACTATTAACTCCAAGAAAATTTCACATGTTGTAAAGCTGGGGAATTTGAAAAACTCGATCTTAAATGAGAAGTAAGCGCTAACCTGAAGAATGGGGACTTCTTCAATAGGAAGCTCTGCACCAAGATCACCTCTTGCAACCATTGCCTGGAAGAAGTACACAAATCTCATTAAGCAATCAATGCACACAAGACCCAATCCATTCAGAAATTTCAATTGCGGTAACACTGAACTTCTTTTCACTACAATCCTCTAGATGTTTTGTTTCACAAAAAAAATCTCCAATCTGTTGTTGTTATAAAGGAGATCAGAGTGTAAGGCATGCAAGAAAGGAAATCAAACTAGTGAAGGTTGATGGAAAAGATTACCCCATCAGATGCAGTGATAATGGAATGCAAGTTAGGTATGGAGTCTGCACTTTCAATTTTAACAATCACATGTATATCAGCCCCACAACCTGCCAATTTTTTGAAACAAAATATCATAATCAGAACAAAAATGAAGAATCATAGGAAAAGTCTTCACTTAGGAGAGGATCGGTTTCAAGTACTTTGAAGGTAATTCTTCAATTCATGTACCACTTGTGCATCTTTGACAAAGGAAACTGCATAAAAGTCAACTTTGTTCTCCACTCCAAATTTAATATCCTCCCAATCCTTCTCTGCAAGAAGAAAAGAATTACAACGAATAAGCATAAAAAAAGTATTGTTTAACACACTCCAAAACAACGAAAAAAACTGAGACGACAGGGTGAGCTGAAAGTCGAACCAGTGATTGAAGGTAATGTTGCACTTTTTCCTCGGACATTCAAGTGTCTCCTTGACTTAAGTTCTCCACCATCAACAACTTCACATTTGACAGAGTCTTTAGTCTTAGACTTCACCATAAATGACATCATACCACCTGAAACATAGGAATAGAGCCATTAGTCCATGTCGATCCTCAATGAAATGGAGAAATTAAAATAGACTGAAAGAAAGGAAGTGGATTTTTCGTCGAATGAGAACCCTTGTACAGAGATTTATATCTGTTTACAACAAGTCATAAGATGTACATACCATCAACAAGGAGCATGTCACCCGCTTCCACGTCATTGACAAAATCATCATAGTTAACACTGACACAAGTTGGTGTGCTGACTCCTCTCTCAATTGTAAAAGTAAACTCTTGACCGGTATTTAACATAATCGGTTGAGGTAAATCTCCACTCCTAACTTCTGGGCCCTATGAACAATACAACTAATCGTCAAAGAGGGCATAGGGATGTAAAATTCCGTCAAGTAAATAGAGAAGATAAAACTCTGAATACAAATGGGAAACAGAAACAAACCTTGGTGTCGAGCATGATAGCAATGGTGTTGTCTTTAGATTGTGCATTGTATTCTTTAACCAAATCGATAACTTTCTTATGCGAAGCATGATCCCCGTGAGACATGTTCATCCGAGCAACATTCATCCCAGCTTCAGCCAGTTTCCATATCATTTCTCGTGTGTTGGTAGAAGGACCAACAGTACAAACAATCTTCGTCTTCCTCCTTACTGTCGGTTTCGACCACATTCCTACGGATGTGTCACCAAACTGTTGCATTTCCAACAACCGCTCCAGCTGCGCCTCTCTCTAATCCACATTGAAGACAACAAACAAAGTATATAAATTTTCAATTCAGTTGTCACATAAAAGCATGGAACTATTCGTGAACATATTACAAAACAGAGCCAAATGGACAGAACTGGCACCTTAGCATATAAATGTAATTACTAGCAATTTTCTTCTCAGAAATTGTAATCAGCTCACAAAATATCAATGCAAAGTAATCTGACTAATAAAAAAAACATAAAAAGATCAATTTCGCAGATTGAAACAGCCACATAGCTCATAGAAACTTCTCAATGTATCATTATTCAACATCAAAGCGAAATGGATGGTTTCTGATAAAAAAATCAAATTGAAATGCTTTTCTCAACTCGAAACCTAGAAAGACAAAATATGCAGCCACATTCAAAAATTCATTCTCAGTACAAGAAAAAAAAACACAAGCTCACATACATTAGGAACATCCTCGGGAGACACTGGAATAACTTCAGTCTCGACACGAGCAGATCTCACAGTAGTATCAACCACTCTTCTGCTTCTTAAAGCGACTCTTCCACTCCTCTTCACTTCGTTTCCCAGAACCTTCACTGCAAAACTCGCCGGCTTCAAAAACTTATCGGATCTCGTAGACACAGATCCACCGTTGGGACATAACAGAGACCCTTGAATCGATCTAGTAGCAACCACCTGAGCCATTTCGCCAAGAAAGATCAACGAATTCGACAGGAACGA